TGTCCGAAGGGGGAGGGGATAAGTATTTATTGGTGAAAATATAGCACGCAGCATTATCTAAAGATATCCCCTCCTCCCAAAACGAGATTAAAAAAAAAAAAAAAAAAATTGGGACTTCTAGATGTTCTGCTTGACTGATCAGACCCAGACGAAGCGATTGCTGAGACAGATTTGGCTTGGCGTAGGCAGTACAGTCTGGGATGGGAAAACTAGGTCTATTTAAAAATCAAATAATTAGAGACTTGTGGCAAGTCTAAGATAGGCCTAGTCACTCAATCCTACACTTAGCTGAATTATTCTAATGCGCATGTGCAATTACTAATAGAAAAACCATCATTCAAGACTTTGTTATGCTAAAAAAAATATTATCTTCGAAATAACTTCATCACAATCACAAATTAGGCCTAACTATCTATATTTCATTCAACAATTTCCACGCTCGATTAATTGGTGTAATTTTTAATTCCATAATAATATTTACAGCCATACTTTTAAACAGTCTTGATTAAGTTTAAAAAAAGTAAAAATTGTGTACCATAGATTTCTATTATTTTTTAGCTATTTTTTAATTGTTTCAAATAATTAATTGGCAACTTATATTGATGCTAAATACCTATAAACTAGTGGAATAGCTCACACATGCGCACAACGCATCACCGTCTGCTGGATTTCATTCTGAGCGATATCGCTATCTGGCGGTAAAAAACAAAATGCACTCGATCCTCATCATGCATGGATGCACAGTCAGTACCTCGGATCGAGCGCTGAGTGGTCGTAAATATCAATTTTTCGATTTTTCATTTATCATTTGCGAATTCGTATTATATTTTGTCTGTCACTAAATGACAGTAAGGATCAAATGGCGGGAAATAATCGAATTTAAAAGTGAGTAGACAGTTAATAATGCATTTTCTTTTTTGCTTGGATGCAGTTGGTTAGTTAGTAGGCCTAGGGCCTAGCCTAGGGCCAAGCTAGTGAGTGCAGGTGAGTGGTGGTGGTGAGCGCGGGACATTTTATTTAAACAAAAAGAGAGCGAGTTTCATCCCTACTCATGATCTTCTCAAGCTAGGCCAGGGCCTGGGGCTAGGTCCTAGGCCCCATCTCACAAGCAAGGGCGTCAATCCGTGGTTGAAAGTGGGGGTGGGACGAAATAAGAAAGCATGCCATTATGGCCCCGGTAGGGGTCAAGGAATGGGGGGATCCCCGGAAGCTCTGGCGTCTATAGCCTTTTAATATAAGTCGTATCTAATTGATTAAAAGAAAATGCAAATAACATCACTACATTTTCTAAATACAGTGGTTGATCCAGGAATTTGGAATAGAGGGGGACCAGGGAGGGACTTCTACATAGGCCTACAGATGGAGAGTGTGCCCCACCATATGGTTGGGGCTGAGGTAAGACATTATGATTAAATTTATGGTACCTCTAGGTAGCTGGAAATGGCACTGTCAGACTAAATTTGAATATAATTTCTTTTTTCTCCAATTTTAAATTTTGAAAAAAAATAGGGAGGGTGCGCTGGGCTTCCTGGAATCTTCAAGTTATCCTGGTAATCATAATTATGCCCACTTGCGGCTTATATATATAACAAATAGGCCTACGATAAACTTAAAACAGTCACCAATTTAGTCTCTGCATGTACAGTACTTTTAAAATCAGTCAAGAGGTTTTTCCTTTTCTCCTCTTTTTGAATTTTACTTTTGTGCAAGTAGTATTGCGACTACACTATTGTGAGTGGAAATACTACCGTCTAATTTACGATCAAAAAGGACTAGGGAGATAGGAAGCACACAAAACATTAGTTAGCATTTTGATTTCACAAACATATACTGTAGGTGATTTACTTAATTTAAACATTATTATTGGCGGATCAAAGAAAGCGAAATAGAGGGGGGACAGGGAGGGACTTTCACAGATTGGGAAACTAGACCAGTGCAGCCCCATCATGGTTGGGGCTGAGGTAAGAAAATTTATGATTATGACACCTCAGATGGCCGGAAATTGCACTCTCAGACCTAAATTCTAATTACAAATTTCCTTTTTTTCCATTTTAAAAAAATAATTTGGAAAAATTTAGGGTGGGGGGAGGGGCAAGTCGACTCGGCCGCACTTGAATAAACTGATTATTATGACGTCATTGCAAGATTGCATCAACTTAACACTGGAGTTTGAAAACTTAAAACTATAACTATAATTTTTTGAAATTAGGAAAAACATGAATCTATGTATGCAGATATTAAACACTAGTATACGTACGGGTCATAATATTACACAAAATGAATAAATCGTTTATAGTAGAAGGTGTGCATTTTGAGATTGTAAAAATATTGGCCTAATAGATTTACATCCTTCCAATTTTAACAACGTACAGTACATTGTTTTGACAATAAATTTAGCCTCTGATAACTATAAAATTGATGTAGTGATTATACTGAGATGGTTACGAAATGTACAAACAATTGCGTTTTTAGCCAGTTATGGTCCGGAAATACGCACCGCACTTGGAAAAGAGCACAAGTGAACATACAAAATTCAGGACAGTCATGCATAATTGTTATTTTTTCTACTCGCTTTGAAAAGTGGGATTTTAATTATAGAAGATTGATGAAAAGTGGGGAAGGACATTTGATATGATGTGTCCCCTACTTTAAAAAGTGGGAGAATGTGTCCCCCACCAATCGACGCCCATGCCATCTCATAATATTTAGCCTAGTCATATCACACTGACTGATAACAGTAACATAAGCTGAAGTTCTTTTTAGGCCTGGCCTTACAGTATTAAAAATTTAACATTTCAGCTTAATTAATAATTTCAATTTGTCTATCCTGGATTGTTCTATTCTGTAGTAGGCCTAGGCCTAGTAGTGGTACCATACAATTCGTCATTCACATCACGAACTAACACAATCAAAGTAGATTGTGTTAGTTCGTGAAATCACAGAAAAAAAACGAGCGCGTATTTGTTATCAAGCAATTTTGTATTTTTAATATTTTTTGTATTTTTAATAGTTTTTAATATTCAGTGTGAATTCTCTTTATCTTCTAGAAATTAAATCGATCAGTGCAGAATTAAAAGTTTTGCAGAAATGGGTGTCAAAGGCCTGACAAAGTTCATCGATGAACATCGCTTCTTGTCTGCCAGAGTTGAAATCTCTGATACAAAACTGGTTATTGACGGTTACAGTTTGCTGTATCACTTGTATATAACTGCTGAACTTGATATGAAACATGGTGGAGAAAACCTTATATTTTATGGAATATGCCAGACATTCATCACAAATCTCAGACAGTGCGGCATTGAGCCTTTTATTCTAATTGATGGTGGGATTGACACTGATGAAAAGAAGTTCAGGACTCTAAAAGACAGACACAAAGATCGGATACGGCAAGCAATTTCACTTGCTGGTGGGGGTTGTGGCATTATACTACCCTTACTGGCAGTAGATGTCTTTCGTCAAGTTCTAATGGATCATCAGGTTAACTTTGCTCAGTGTGACTTTGAAGCAGACAGCGAACTTTCCGCTTTAGCAAATGCATACAATTGCCCACTTGTTTCAAATGACAGTGACTTTTATGTGACAGATCTTACAGGTGGTTTCATACACTTGAAGTATTTCCACTTTGAAAATCCAAAGTATAAATCAAAACTCAGATCTGCATACTTAGAGTGTAAGATCTACCATGTTGATGAATTTTGTAAGCATTTCACAATAAATAAAAGTTTTCTTCCACTACTGGGAACGCTGCAGGGTAACGATTATGTGGAACGATTTTTGGGTAAACATTTGGAAGAGCTCATACATTGGCTTGCTCAATTTGATACAACGGAAAATGCAGTAAAAGCTGCTGTTAAATATCGGCACCAAAAAGAAATCCTTAAAGAAAAAATTCAAGCATCAATGGAAATGTATACTGCAAATAGAACATCGGAATATGCTAAATACTTTCAAACAAAAGAGATAGACCAGAATGATTGCCAGTTGTGGCAATATCATGATCTTCCTCTGTGGTTTATAAGTGATTTCCGAGATGGGCTTTTAACAGCAGACACTCTAAATGCATTTTTTATTAAGAAATGTTTTTTGGCAAACTTTATTGAGTGTCCGCATCATGCAAGTTCAAATGCAATTAGCCTGCCAATACGGAAAAAAATGTATGGTTTTATTCACCAGAATGACTGCAGCAATAAACCAGTGATTGAAGAGTATGATAGAGAAGGCAGCACTGCCACGTGTAGATCAGTTTTTCCATCATACTGTTCTCTTAGTATTCATAATATTAGAAGTCTTAACCAAGCACAGAGCAAATCTGAACTTCTAGATTGTATACTCTTAGAAGCAAAGGATTTGAAGGACATTAAAGAGGAGTATCAGCTTCCAATTGCATCCATGATGTACTGGATCAAGAATGCAAAGCCTGAAGTGTGCTGGAGGCATATCATAGCTTTGCTTCTGGGAATCATTATAAGTACTGCCATTAAAAAGTTACATGAAAAGCAGTCTACCCAATGCAGTCAAGGCAAAGAAGACAACCGAAGCATGATAGAGCAGAGATTCACTAATATAAGAATCAAATTCAAGGCAACAGAAAACTGTTTTGATGTCGATGCCAACCATATGTTTTCACAGTGGCAAAGTGTTTTGAAACATATTTCACAATTGAATACCTTTTTATCCTCTCCGCTTATGATGTTAGATGTTTCTGTAGTGTACAATGGAACATTTGTACATGGGGTCTACAACTTCCTTAAGACATTCCAAAAACCTGGAAAAGCTTTGGAATATGTAAATCAAAGCCATGTTCTTGAAAATATTGATTTTTTTGAGCTGTCCTCCATGTACTGCAATGTAGTTCATAGTTTGGACACCAGATATAAAATAGGTGGTGATGTTGAGGGATCTAAAGGTAGCATCAGTGGTGAGAGAGCTTCTGGTTATGATAGAAGAGAAGTTGGTAGTGGAAACAGAAATAGAAGATCTAGAAGTAGCAACTCAAGATTTAACAAAAGATCTGAAAGTGTCGACCAGTGGTCTCCAGCTGTCAACAGAGGACATGAAGGTGGTATAAGAAGACCTGCTGGAGGAGGACCTGAAAGTCCTAACAGAGTGCTTGGTGGTGGTGGTGGTGGCTGTATATTTTATAATATTGGCAATATATTTTATAATATTGGCAATCAAGGATCTAGAGGTGCAGCTGACAACAAAAGAGAAGGTAGATACAGAGACCATGGACGTGGCAACAGAGGATCAGGACGTTGTAACTTTGGATCTGCAGCTGGCAACAAAGGATCAGGAAGTGGTGAGAGATTTGAAGGTGGCAACAGTGGAGCTATGGGTGGTGGCAGAGGATCTGGAGGTGGTGGTAGAGGATCTGGAGGTGGTGGCAGAGGATCTGGAGGTGGTGGCAGAGGATCTGGAGGTGGTGGCAGAGGTTCTGGAGGTGGTGGCAGAGGATCTGGAGGTGGTGGCAGAGGATCTGGAGGTGGCAACAAAGGATCAGGAAGTGGTGAGAGATTTGAAGGTGGCAACAGTGGAGCTATGGGTGGTGGCAGAGGATCTGGAGGTGGTGGCAGAGGATCTGGAGGTGGTGGCAGAGGATCTGGAGGTGGTGGCAGAGGATCTGGAGGTGGTGGCAGAAGATCTGGAGGTGGTGGTAGAGGATCTGGAGGTCGTGGTAGGTAATATACTGTACGAAAAATCAATGTCAATTGTGATTACACCAACATTGTTCAGTAAAACATTTTTTTAAAACTATATTTCACAATTACAGTGCTGGCTAGCACAAAAACAGTATAAATCTATGCATTCCAAAAAAATAACTCGTTTGATGTACAGTACTGGTAAAACTTCCATACATTTTTCACTTTTATTATAATCAATTCCTGACAAAAGTGGTATATTATTCTGACTGGCATAATCCCTGTACTTACTTGCCATTAAGCAAGACATTTTATTATGATATCGTATCAATTTTTATATTTGTAGAAGACTAGGGGATTACTGTCCAATACGTGTTACATTTGCATCTTAGCAGTTTACCTTTTTCTTTTCAAAAAAAGTAATGTATACACATCTGTTAAACACATGTATATCATACCTAATTTTGTTACAGTTTTAGAGTTTCTCAAGGCTAGTCTCACTTCTTTTTTTTATATTAAATATACAGTACTACAAAAACATTTGTTACAAATTACAGTACGATCAGGGGTAATAATGCTTTGAAATAGTGTAAGGCACTTCCGAGCATTATTAAAAGGGCTGCAAAATGCCAATATATTTGTTGACATGGCATTGTGTTTCATTATGTGAAAGATATGCTGATTGGGTTAGGTTGATTGAGGAACATTTACATGGTGGTACAGTAAAAGAACATGTTTACCGAACAACTCGGAGATATCAAAGCAGTGCAACACTGTACAGTATTTCATATCTCTTTAAATGAAAGATAAAACAGCATGCTTTTTTGTTGATGTTCTTTGTGTTGATTTGGTTTACGATTTACCTGGTCATTTTCTTATCATGCTTTCTTTTGTTTTTATTATGTATATACAGTATACAGTATGTATTTTATCTGCAATATAATAAATGACTTGAATGTATGCATATTTAAAATTTTGTATGTAAATTTTTTTTTAAATAGTAATGGAACAACAGTTAGGAAGCAGATGCTTTTATTGTTGTATTTTTATTGTAGATTTATGAGATTTAACCGTGTAATTCACATCATAATTAAAAATGCAGCTATGCAGTATTCAGTGTTTTGTAATTTAATAAGTGTATTTTTAAATCGTGTACATAGGGTTTTTCCATACTAATAGTATTGTTGTCACAAAGAGTTGAGAAACAAAGTTTAAAATTTCTACCTACAAATTGTATCTGTATATTGGTGTAAATTTAATAATTAATATTAAATGTCCACAGGGTCATCTGGTCGGTCAGATAGGGCCCCCCCATCGGGGAGAAAAAGCACAATTTGTCTGGGAGAAAAAAAAAATTATATGCATTTTCTACATATTAGTAGACTCTAAAATCGATTAAATAAAGCCTTTGAAACCCTTTGAAACTAAATTTTCAAAATTTCCGGGGATTCTCCCCCTGGACCACTTTTGGAAACTTTTAATAGAATTTTAATCGAAGCGCAACCACGCCCTTTTTGCTTTTGTCGGGAAAATCTGACCTTCTTCGGGAAATTGGCCCCCCCCCCCATCGAGCAAATCTTGGCGCCACACCTGGGGCATAATGGTTGATTTGAGCTGGAATGACCCTTTGAATTTCTTTGTTATGGTTTGCTGGACTGTTGTCAAATATGTGTACAGTATGTACTTTGCTATGGTCCTATAGATAATACAGTTAAACTTGCCTAAAGTGGACTTAGCCTAACTCAAATAATTTCTAAGTCCATCTTATTTTACATGCCAAATTGTTGTGTTTTCCATTAACAATCTGCAAGTCGAATTCAATTTAAGTTAATTTTTCAATAGCATTTTGGATTCAACTTAGGCAAGTTCAACTGTGTATTGAGCTCATATTATTTATGATCTTATAGTATGTACATAATAAAAAAATACCTGGAATTTAAATTGGTACATGTACTTGTACAGTGACAGTAAAGTAGTTGTTTGATATATATATAATGTATTCATCTGTATAAAATATTGTCATAATAAAATAGTGTTGTATTAAAATCTTAACACAATGTCTACTTCTTCCATTGACAGTTACTCTATTGAGGATCTGTATTTATACTATTGCTTTGTATTAAAATCTGGCTTCACCATTATCATACTGTATTTTCATTCATATTGTCATACTAGAATAGTGTTCTATTAGAATCTTAAGCTTTCATTCACAATGTGAACTTCTTCCATTGACAATTGCTCTATAAGGATCTGTATTTATACTTTAGTTTTGTATTAAAACATGGCTTCACCATTATCATACTGATATTTTCATTATTGTGTTAAACATTTATTTTTTAACATTTCTTAACATATATTTAAATATAATCATATATCTTACTTCATTGTCAGACTTTAAAGCTGTTCTTGGATGATCATGGCTGACTCTGGTGTATAGGTTCACTAACTGTTGATGTTGAATGAGTAGAGTTTGAAGAACACCTGGCTTATTGACATAATCAACCCTCATTGCTGCAGACACTCCCAAATAAACTCTGTAAAAAAATACACAGGACATTAAAATAGTCCCAAGTTAATAAATACTACAGGTACTGTATGATTATATTGTAACATTTATAGGGAAAAGTATCACACAGGTGGGGTCTGGGAATCGGAACTTCATACTGACAATGGTGACTAGTAGAGAGCGGGTTCGGGAGAGAGTGTAGTTTGTCGTTATTCTGTCAAAGGGAAAACAAAATAATTTTAAATGAAAATATCGAACATTCTGGTTTGAAATTTGGCAAAATATGCTATAGCAAACAAACACCGCACTGGAAATTTCAGGTAAGCAAAGGCATGTAGTCGTAGTTCACTTATTAAATAAACACCACGCGAAGCAATATTGTATTATTAGAAACTTGTGATGATGTTATAATAAATACAGTATGGCGATTCTGAACAAATTCAATCAAAACGGAATATGTCAGCTTCAACAACAAATTATGTTTTTCAACATCTGCTTGACTGTAGCATCGTGGAGAAATAATACAAGTACAACAATTGACTTGCCATACAGTGAAGAATTAATTTGGAAAATTTTCAGTGTACTCAACAATAATGTTAGATTAATGGCAATAGAATAATGAATATTTTTAGTTCAGTATCAACATATCAATGTCTGATACAATATCATACCATGTTTTCTATCCAATGTTTACAATAATGTAAACATGGCCTACAGTACAGCTGTTTTTGATATAAATATCAAATAAATAATAAACATATGCTACAACTGTTGTCTGATCTAATACCATTAATGACTCAAATCCTAAGATGTTTTAATATTTAACGATACTTTTAAAAAAAAAAACTTTATAACTGGTCAGGAGCTTTTTATTTAGGCAAATAATGTCAGTATGCCAGGGAAAAATATTAATGCAACACCAGAAAATCTGGCTTTGTATTGAACACTAATATAGTATTTACAAAATAGTAGACATTTAAAAAAAGGTTATTGTAATGTCTACAATAACCACGGACGCTTGGTGGAAACAAAAGTTTTTTGGAGTATTAATTAAAAAAAATATAGGCCTATCCAGCATACAAAAAAAGGCCAAAATATTCTATCAAATTTCTCCAGCAAACGAATATCATCACACTCCAGATTTCAGATTCAACAAACAAAAGCTATGCAAAAGCCATGTGGTTCACTTTAATATTAAAAGAGAATAAAAAAAAATACTTCACATATTTTCAAAAAGGTATCACGGGTGGGGCGAGGGTGGGGGAGTGTGTTGCAGATTTATCGAATGTTTGTATAAGAACACTGCTATTTACAAAACAAATAATAAACGTTTAGAAATAAATGATATATTATTACTCTACTATCTCTAACATAAAACCTGTTCATCTCAGTAGCCTACAATAGGCTGATTGGCCCCTGCTGGTCATCGTTTTAAACAATTTTTAATTTTTATCTCTCACCCTGTCTCATGCCATAGCGAACAGTGCAAAGGTCTAGATCCGTGCCTGCTTAATAGCCTCATGTTTACTCATTCCCCTGGAACCTAATATAGGTTTCCCTCCAATTAAAAACCACTTCTGGGACCAGGGTTACATGGTCTTCAGCAGCTTTGGTCTCTAATTAAAATAATAAAGAAATATGTTAATTTAGGACCACAGAAAAGTGGTCTTTAATTAGAGGGAGACCTTTATAGCACATTTTATACTAAAGTCTCAATGTGCTTAAAAAGAAACAAGGGTGGTGATGAGAAAAAAGTGAAAATTAAAATAAATTTTTAAGATTAGAATTATAATATCTGTTTTAATATAGCAATTTCCATAAATGTAAAAATCTACAAGAGCCATAAACTATTTCTAGTTGTGCAGCAGTACACGAGTGAATACTTTCAACATTTGTAATCTTTTGCACTTCACTACTGTATTTTCAAGAAAAAAATTTGACTTCATTGGAATTTGATTTGCTGGCTATCATACCAAACCTCATTACATCATCTGGCCAATTAGTGAATAACCAGCAAAGTCAAGATGAAAAGTTTCACAGTTTTTTCCTGTATTTCTGCTACCTGGATAATGAGAATATTCACAAACATATTAAACTGTTAAAAAAATTATGACAAATTAGGGCCATGAAATTACTTTTGACCCATATATACCTGAATAAGGCTAGTGGCATCATTTGTATAACAGTTTGAGGAGCAACACTAGACTTCAGAAGTGAATTTTCTACACAAAAAAAAAAACAACAAATAATACGCATGAATATTTACATAATGAAGCCGGTTGGAACTAGTTCATCTGATCGAATTTCACTGCTTCATTTCTAAACGTGAAATCCTACATTTATTATACTCCTTAAAGTCAGGAGGGAAACAAATTTTTGATATGTTGTAGAACTGATTTTTGGTGAATGAGATACAGATTTTTTAATATTTAAAAACTGGGGGAAAAAGGGGCGTAACTGCCCATTTTTACACCTTATTCCCCCAGTTTTTAAATATTAAAAAATCTCTATTTCATTCACCGTTCCCCAGTTTTTCGTCAAACAACTTTTTTCTGTCTTAGAAAAATCAGTTCTACAACATATCAAAATTTGTTTTCCCTCCGGAACCTGACTTTAATATTACAACTGATTTCAGAGAGAGCATCTAGGGCAGGGCTAACTGTTTTATTATAACTCTTGACACAAATGTACATGTTTCTGCAGTACAATTGCTATCTTCAGTGTAACAATGTTTACAAGAGCAAATTCTAGTATTAATAGGAGTGAACAAATGTGATGAAATTTCATGATAAATAAGCATGCTTAAGCATATGAAAGAAAGGCATGAATAAATCCTGTTTTCCACTAGGTGAATTTATTCATGCTAATGAAAGCGTTGCTTCATGCGCATTCACATTTCTATCTGAGTTTTTTGCTTCAGAATATCAGTAGTTCGGACTGTTCCTACTTTTTGCGAAGCGAAAAAAATGTGCAACCAATCAGATCTCAGGAAGCGAACCGACGATTTTGATTTGCAGAATAAATTCGTCTAGTTGAAAAACAGCCTTAAATATGAAGATATACATGAGAACAAATGTTGTTGAAGGAATTGAACGAAGCAGGAGAAGAAATGCATGAATAAAGAGGAGAAAGTGAATTGGAAGGAAAGAGTTAAATGTACATGTTGTAATTGTCTATTAAGGGTGGTCCGCTCCCACTGTATTTGCAATGCTTCTTTGATTTTTTTTCATTGATAAACAGTATTAGCAGAACATTTTATTATTATTTCCCCTCCCCATTTTTTTTAATCTATTGGCACAACTACTATTTAAATTTTTCACTGAATATCACTCACTTGTTAGGATAATCTGACTTTCAGGACTAATTTCTAGAATATTCTGTGCAAGCTGAAGATTCACTGAGACCTCCCTTCCAATGAGAATGGAATGTGCCACATCTGCAATTACTAATTCAAATAGGAATTCTAAAACCTGAAAAATAATTTACTTATTGATTTCATAATAATAAATAACTATTAAATAACTTGTTAATTAAATTATAGTTAAATATAATCAGTAATTAAAATAAATCATCATTATCAGCGATCGAGTAAAGTGCCATAAAAAAAATCCAATTACCGTTTTGGATTTTGCAAGTCTTTGTAAATAAGAGCATAGCTTTTCTTTCGGAAATGTGAACAATGCTACACTGATAAACCATACATCTGCATTCTGTGTTGCAGAAAACTGTAGAGGGCGTGAACTGGTCATTAATTCTTCAGCGTGAGCTTTTAAGGAAGTTAAATCCTTAAATAGCTGTGATGTGGAATTACTCTTCGACACTCTGGAAAAACTTGAAATCAGTTTCTTTATATGTACCTAAAAGAAATAAAAAAAATATTTATTTAAATATAGTTTTTATATATGATAAAGAGTGTAAAGATTTGTACAAGAAGCATTCATGCCCATACTACAGGACATACTTACCAACAAAGAAGAGATTAAAAGGGGACAGGCTGTCTTCAGTTGATGGATATAAGATGAACCCAAATAACCAAGCATCTGGAATAAAAATAATTTCAGTTTAAATGCAGAACCACAACAAGTATATATGTATGTATTTTTTAGAAATATATTATATATTTATAATAAAACAAAATAAATAAATTCATAAGTGATGGGCATAGGCCCAAGTTTAGATATTAATAAATGCGTAATGTTTGTATAGTAGAAAAAATGATGAAGTTACAATTTCCTGCTTTATTTATTAAAGAGCCACATTCCAAGTCAATGAGCTATGTACCTAGAAGCCTGAAGTAAGTAAATATTGTATGTTAGACATAACACATGCTATACTTACCCTTGCAAAATAGGATGTCACATGTGGAGGTAGAGAATAGATGGTCTCCATAAGGTTTTGTCTCTGTCAGAAGTTGAATGAAATTAATGTAATTAAAGATAATATTTTTAACAATTTATTTATTCAAATTACTTGGTAACAATAATAATACTGTCTGTCATGAGCTAAAAAAAATAAAAAATTTAAATCCATATTTGAAAAGCCAAAAATATATATTTAAGTCAGTCATCAACTTACAATTGGACACTGGCAGTGCATCGTTAAGTTCAAAATATCAATTACCGCCTTCCACACTATTTAATCATATTTTTTTTATCAATATTGCCAATGTTACAATTATTATTGTCATGATTGTTGATATGGTGGTTGCTGTTGGGGTTGTTGCGATCATTGAGATCATTATTATCATGGTCATTATTGTCATGGTAATTTCTCTCTCTGTTGTCCTGGTCACTGTTATGCAGCCAATGTTGTTTTGATAATGTTGTATAAAAAAACACCTTAATCCGGGTAGACAGCGAACAGACGGTTGTCGGCTGACGCAACAGATCGTTGTCAATGACGACCCACTCAGCAGACGGCCACTGACAATAGGCAGATATTGTTGCGTCATCAAATAAAAAAAATGGAGTATAGGGTTGGACTGGCAATGTGTGCCTGGCTGAAAAAAAAAAATACAATCTGAGCGTTCTACTTACTAAGTTGGTGTTGATAAAGCTTATCAGATGATTCAAGGTGTGGACAGCAGCTGAGCGATCTCCAGGAGTATTGGACACCAGTAAGTGAGCTGGTAGGCTAGTAATAATGCTATCAATCGAAAACAAGTACAGTAAGGATTGAATGAAGTAAATTCTTAATCCATCTTAAAGAATATTCTTTCACAAAACAATTCTCAAAAAAAAAACAAAAAAAAAAAAACTTCACTTTTTTCAGAACTGTAGTTTTCTGCAAGCATTAATCAATATGATTTTTAATACATTATACCCTGCCAAAGGCCATTTTATCCTATATGTTTTTCATTGAAACAAAAGTCAAAAGTTGGTAACTCATGTAGGAAAAATGTCTGCAATAATGTCACAGCCATGGAAAACAAAAGGGAGGGGTTGTGCTTGGGCATCTCTATACATTCTGGAGGACAAACATAAAATCATTCATAGTGGCTTGTAATGTGGCAAGGCAAACATATTTTATAGCTTCGTATCCACAACGTTAAATATAAATTACTGAAAAACATAAATGAAAGAGTTTTGATAACTTACTTCACAATACAGGCAGTTTCAAGAGCTTTGTCCTCTTTTTCTCCAACAGCTAATATCTTCTGAATTGTATCCATCATCCAACTGCCTTTCTCAACATTCATCCTATCATCTGTAGACCCTCTCAAGTAAGTCGACTGAGTCATCTCCTAAAAAATTATTTAGTGAACCTTGCATAATCAATTTAATGGCTACTCCAGATAGCTAAAAAAACAACTGTGTTTTAATTTTTGTCCTCTATCAAGCCTGTTACCCAATGCTTTTTTAACAGTTTTCTATGCAGAATTTATTTGGTAGGAGGCTGCTTCTCTGACGAGAGCATAAGTGGGTGTGGTCATGCGATGCTTAAAATCTCTTGGAAGTGATCCATGGGGTGAAGCCCCGAAAACTATGAAAATTTAGAGGTTTCAAAGGATTATTTATTCGACTTTTTTTTTTCTCCAATGGGGGAGGGGAGGGGCCATTCCCTCTCCCTCCCACTGGCACCAACTTTGCATAATTCTACAAACATTTTATATTACTGTAATAAATTTTTCTCTCTACTTGTGCCCACTTTCCTATACCACATTTTCAGGTTCAAATCCAATTACTCAGAATCTACCTGTAGCAGCTGCAGCATTTCTCCTTGGCTGCCATTTTCATTGGTTGCATTCAGGGATTGCTGCTCAAGATGGTGGAGACATCCATTATGGACATACAGTCCTGACTGAAGTCCAATGGTTTTACTGTATTCTACAAGTTCCTTGAAAAGCACCGAACATACTTCCATGTAATCGGCATATTCAGGATAACACTTTTCAGTTACCATCCACCTGTGGTATTCTTTTCTAAAACAAGAAATTATATTTAAGTTATTATAGAAATGCTATCTATTTCTGAGTCCCTCAAATTAATTATTTTTTGTCATATCTTTCACAATGCTTAATCTAATACCCCATTCAGACTAGCATCGCATTGCGATCGGTTGTAGCAATTGCGACACCCAATCGCAAAGTAAAATCCTGTGTGAAAGCTCACCAATAGTAGTCGATATGTAATCGATATCGCAATTGTTACCCGTTGCGATTGGGTGCTACAATCTTTATTACTCCCGATTACCACGGCATCCGATCACAACGAATTCTACAGGCACTGTTTGGCGGAGGTCAGTCAACATAGGCCTAGCCACCGGAGGCCTAGGCCCTAGAATGTAAAGTTTGTTTGTATTGGTCTGAATGCGTTCGTTGATTGCGATCGGGAGCAATCAGTTTTGGATTACCACCGATTACATCGCAACCGATCGCAACAGAGTGTAGTCTGAATAGGGTATAAAACTCAAAACCAAACATACATTATTGTAGATATACATACATATAAAATAATTGGAACTTTATCGACAGTACTACAGTATACATACTCTCTTAATACAGGAATATCAATGGGTGCCTGGTAATATGTGAATGATTTTAGAAAGCTAGTCTGGTTCAAGGTTAAATATTAACATACTCTAGGAAGAAAAGGGTACACATGATAAATAATCGTGAGGGATTACACATGGTGCAGAGGTTAGTGTTGGGCTTTCAATTGAGAGGTTGTTGGTTGAAGTCCAATGCTGGACACACTGTGTGTGTCCATTGTCTCTCTTCACTAAAAAGTATAAATGGGTACCTGGTAGAATATGTGAATTATTTATAAAGAAATTGGTAGGCCTGACTACATGCATAACTACCGGAGCAGAATACACATTTTGCATGATGGAAAAAATGCATGTCATGTCTAAAAAGAAAACAGCTGTATAAATAAAAGGCAAAATTGCATTTTTTTAAGGTGCTTTGAAGGGACTGTTCTATGTTGAATGCATTTCGTTTTCAGGTGAATACCCTACAATGAGACAATAGGCATACTGTGAACAACTGTACAAGTTCAGTTTTAACACACCTTTCAAGAAATGTGATGAGATCCAGATGAGGCTGTACAAGAATCTCATTGCATATCCACTGGTTCAACGATAGCTGATGAAAAAAAAATGAATAAATCAATGCAGATACAGTTTACTGTTTCATAGATAATAAATCAAAATTGATGTAAACTTACTGAAAGCTTTCGTCATTAAGATTTCATCAATTGTGCTTGGTTTATTATCAATGGAACAGTTCAACAGTCACATTTTATGTTTCTATTTTTATCTATTGATTTTTTTGTAAACAAATGTTTTTAGCCATAGGCTGCTGTTTATATGTGTTCTATACCCAAATAAATAAATAAAACAAAATATGCAAATCAGATATGATTATTTGAATAATACAGATACAAACAACAAAATGACTTTATAGAGATTGAACCAGAGCACTTGTATTAGGATCCAAACCCCCCAGCTTCCTAATAATCATCTTGAGCACCACAATGACAATTTAAAAAGAAACTTACCTTCAACGAACGCACCTCACAAAGTTCATTGAACTTCGGTGATAAATATAATTTTACAGATGCATCTGAAGACTCATTCAATTCATGAGAAGCTGCATATCTCGCATCTGGGTGCAGCCTTGGTACCAGATATAAAAACTACATAAAAGTAGAAACTACATGTATTGGTATTTAGCAATTACTGCATATAAGACAAAACAAGTCAATAGGAATAATATTTTGCCCTACCTGACATGTTATCGTACTAAATAAAAAGTGATTTGGGTTGGAATTGAACCCACAACCTCCAGATATCTAGCCTGGTGTGATATCAACTAGACCACTTAGCTTGCGCTTAGTAACTAGTGTTGAATCCGATCAGCAGTGGGTACTGCAATACTATTTCAATGTTGTTTTGCATCAGGAAATTCCATAGAAGCGATGTTTTGTGATGAAGAACATAAAAAAAAACAAGCCTATTTGTACAAAAATAACGATAGGAAAATTACCTTTTCAACCAAAATTTCTGGAATTATTTGTGCTGACAAATTATTTGATTCATTAAGATGCAATGAATACATGATGACTGCTGTAGATAATCTGTAAATGGAAAGAAATTTATATTAGCAAACTCACATAGATATTGTAGCAAGATAATCAGAAATCTTCATACAAGGTTTAAGAAATTCTAATTTATGAAAATATGAAAGAGACTATGGAGTTAGTGTGGTGTTATGGGATGGATGATTCTATTTTCTTAGAAGGGTGATCATTTAAAGGAACAATGACAAACATGATTTATTCACCTAAGTATTCACAAAATATACATAAAGAAATTCTACTTTATAGAGCGATGAAACAGACATGATAGATCATGGGTTTTTTCTTCCATTTAGGAGAAATACAGTCAATGTGGAAAAATTCCACCTAAACTTGGTATCTTACTGAAGCACAAATTTCATCTTATCGCCTGTGTCATTGCAGAGTAATTTGGCTACAATTTGGAGAAATGGGCCACAGCTAGTCTGAAACAAGTGAAAAAAAAAAGGTTGTATAGTAAAGCAGAAGATAACAGAAAAGTACATTTTGAATATATATCTATTTTGTTACTGAAATACAGAGAGGACGAAATTCCCTAGCCTGCATCAAAAATCTGTGTAAAAGGATTATACAACCCTAAAATGATATATACCACACACCTCATTTCTTATCCCATGCCCTGTTATGGTTACCATGGGAACAACATCTTGTTTTCTATAAAGATGAACCAGGAGGATGGAAAGACAATGACGATGTGATTGCTCCAGCTGTGGTCCCTACACCAAAAAAAAAAAAACAACAAATAAATAAAAGCAATTAAATACAAATAAACATAAAGAACAAATAATGCAAACTGGTTTCAAATTTATTTCTCCATATTTTGCCTGAACATTTTTTTTTTATCTATATTTATGTAACAGCGTGGTGGGTCGCGTGGCCGAGCGTTAAGGCAGGTGCACTGCTAACTACAGCCGTAACATCGGTGCTTGTCCAAGCTGCTCCTCGCCCAGGGTTCGGTTGGTAGAACCAAGTCTTCTCGGATAAGGATATAAAATAGAGGTCCAGTGTACATATCTGGCTTGTGTGCACTTTAAAGAACTCATTACATTTTTTGGAAGAGTAGGGGCGTTACCCTGATGCTATGGTTCATTTCAGCCTCTGTCGTTGTGGAATGATGTGAACATGTACATTAGCTACCATAAGTGCCTGTTTACGGTCGCTACGTAGTCACAGATCACGCCCATACGCAATTCAGGATGACGCTGGGAGTTTGGGTTATTCTCCTACCTTTACAACAATGAGAGAATGGGGATGTACGCATGACATGCAATGTTCAGGGATAGACCATTGTGATACATTCAACGAGGTGTTCTGGACAACTTTTTGTACAATATTTTATACTCTTCCATATACTTTGTGTTACTGACATCTAATTAGATTTTTAAAAAAGCATACCTGATGTAAAAGTAATGTACACAGCCTTAACATCAGTGACTTCAGAACAAGTTGAAATTGACTAAGCATTGAAACAAAGTTGTCAGCCCAATGAACAATGACCTTTTCATTCTCAAGACAAGCCCGGCAAAAACCATTTAAAATTACTTCTGTCACCTAAAAATGAATTATAAAATCTATTAACTATTACATTACTGTTTGTCATTTAGAATTTCTAAATGATATTTAGAGTAACTGCTTACCTCCACTTGTAGTGGTGTGAGTGAAGGTGATTGCATGTCAAGGTTCAAGAGTTCATCTTTAGTTGAAAGGTCAGCCGGCCTGATTTCATCGCAAAAAACTGTCTGAAGTCTGTCTGATATAACTGCAAGCTGATGGTTTAAACCTGTTAACAAATTAAATTAAAATAGTTAAATATCTTAAAGTGCAACATACTTTCCAGAAATAAAAATAAAATAATAAAATTTTGTAAAATTGATTAAAGCAGATTTAGATTAGAATTTTCTTACTTTCTGTCTTTGGTTGTAAACCTGTGACAGCCTTGACAAGGTTGTCCATACTCTTCTTAAGGGCATCCATAGGCTCAAGCATGTCACAATCATCATCTTCCATATCAATTCCTGCAACAGGGCAAAATAAAATCATTAATTAATATTTTATTTATTTATTTTATTTATTCGACTTTACACAGGCATTTTAAGGCAGCTTTAAAAACTCACCTTTTTAACTTGTATCTTTCTTAATTTTTTCCCGAATTTTATTTTTACTGTTAAGCGCATTGAGGCTTTAGCATAATGTGCTATATAAGCCAAAATTATTATTATTATTATTATTAAAAATACAATAAAATATCAATGAAATGAAAGATAATAATTTGTCAGGTAAAAAATGTTCTTAATATAATAATATAGATTTATATATAAATTACATATAATTACAGATTTACCATCTGAAAAAATTATAACAATGTCTGAAAATTAAAACTTTCAATTTCATTACAATTTTTATGACATATGCATTTATTATTGGTTGAAAGTGCAGTAACTTCTACTGTGCATGAAGTCATGTGTATAGTGTAATATATGCCCAATGAAGTGTGAAGCTGTTCTTCTCAGTTGTGCTAATAACCCAATAAGCTAAAAAGCATTCTAATTAATTATAGAATATGGAATGGTGCCATTTCCTATTTAAAAAAAAAATGTTCGTTTAGTTTATATAGAGTATCACACAGCCATCTTTATTAGTGGCAAGTATACTTTTTCAAATTTAAACTGCCTCCTCATAAATATAGGCTTACCTTCTAAAAGAGAGTTGAGTTCTTTTTGACAGGCCTCTTTGTATTTCTCTATCATTCTTACTGGAATCTTACCAAGGCTTGAAATTAAAAACAAAACAATAAATATTAGTACTAGCAAGCTTAAATGCATAGCAAGCCTTTTTTAAATATTTTTATAACTTACTTTTTAAGACTTTCAATCAATTTCATCCTGGAATCGGGAACATCAGGTAACTAAAATAAATACAAATTAAATATTGGGCAATAAATAACAATATTAATGTCATGTCTGCATAGTAACGTATTAATAATGCTCGCGTATAAGACGAGGCCTAAAATTATAAATTATGATGTAAAAATTTTAGACATACAAATTTTTTATTTTTAAAATCATGTGCGTCTTATGTGCGGATTGTCCGTAACACGAAAATATACTACTGGAATGAAGCAACTAAATGTTATTATGAATGTACGCAATTTTAAATATGGGGAAATAAGATTTTGATGAACATTTAAAAGCTCAAAAAATGGTATTATATGGAAGACTAACCTTGCATTTGTCTACTTTTGTAGCCAACAGATGCAGTATCAAGACATAAAAGACAGAAAAACAAATAAGTCGGAATTTCGACGATGAAATAGGGGGTCACCTTATACACCTGACATGCAAAAATCGCACAAAAAATCTTCTCCAACTCGGGGACCATCTTATACGCAGGTTGCCTTATATGCGAGTACATACGGCATTACTTTATGAGCATTTGAACTGACAGAATAAGTACAGCCACAACTTTGTTCATCATGGTTCATAGACGAGAGCATGGTTTGAACCATCACAAGAGCCACAGCACTTTATACATAAAAATCACATGCATTGGTGCAAGTGCAAAAGCATAAACAACACTGGATTACCAACCTAACCTCAGCTGTGAGAGCCTGATCGTGAAATACTGCATGAAAAAAATCATGATACAGAAAATATTGAAAAGTGTAAATAATGTTTTCTTACCATTCTTGGTTTAAGTAGCACTGGTAGAAATCGGCCCATAAAATAGGGGTATTTGAAAATACTGTGATATAAAAAGGTACAAGCAATAAAAAGGCTCTTTAGTTTGATGAAAAAAAATCCACCTACTTTTATGTGACAATCGTGTGATTCGACCATATATGGGCATGATGGTGTTATTATTACATCCTAATATGGGCAAATCACAGGTATTGCTAAATAAAACTTTACAGTGTGATGGATAGAACTTTAAACAAGAAAAAATAACAGTACCTAAAAATAACAGTACTTAAAAATAACAGTTACTTAAGAATAACAGTACTTAAAAATAACAGTACTTAAAAATAACAGTTACTTAAGAATAACAGTACTTAAAAATAACAGTACTTAAAAATAACAGTTACTTAAAAATAATAGTTACTTAAAAATAACAGTTACTTAAAAATAACAGTTACTTAAAAATAACAGTTACTTAAAAATAACAGTACTTTATAAAGCTCAAAGACATGCACCTCTTGAGACAATTTTCTTTAAGTGAACAAAGAGTTATAAAAATAATGATAAAATAAAAGTATGAAATATCTAATTTACCTTGCTTCAATGATGCTAAGTGGAACCTGATTGGTCACTTCAAATGCTGCTATTGCTTGCTCAATGTCTGATTCTGCTTGTTCTTGAAGCTAAACAATATTAATGCTTATTAATTGGCACACATTCATCTACAGTATGCAGGTATGACACTCTTAGAACTCTAGGCTCTGGCTTCAACCATTAACAGCTTACTAGACTTTGATTGTATTACCCTCATTCACAAATTACCAATTTCTGTGTTTATGTCCCCTCGGGGTAAAAGACACTATGTTGTCCTCTGGCAGTCAAAGATGGCTGAAAGGGTAAATCCGGTGGAGGTCCATGATGGGCCATGTGTCATCCTAAGTACCTTAATACTGTACAAAAGTTATAAAAAAAATATAACACCACATATTTCCTGATAACTGAATCCCATGTGGATATTTTATCAGTAAACATAATACAGTAAGGCAGAGGGCATAGACTCATGCTCCCTGGGGGGGGGGGGGGTTCCCGGAAATCAGGAGTTATGCTAATGTTTTTTTTAAAAAAAACATTATTATTAACATCTATTATTATGAGAAAATTATTCTAAATGGACATTTTTGCTAAGACCCTCCCCTTGGAAATATTTGTCCTACTAAATGACAGTGTAAAAACAAACATTCCTGGGGCTGTTGTGATTGGTCAGTTGTTAAGTTTGATTGGCACGCCAGAAAGGTCCATTATTCTGTACCACACCAAGCTTGCACATGATGTGTAGATAACCAACCATTACTCTTAATAGAGGTCTGTTAGGAATAATATTTGAGGCAATGGGGACAATAGCACAGCAAACAATACAATAACCATCAATGTTTAATAATCATACTATTACCACTTTCATTTTTGATCCATCACTTGATTGACCCTGTACAAAGATCCCTTCTGGTTCCAAAGGTTCCTGAATAATAATTATATTTGGTTTAAAAATGTTGCAACCACACCAAAACAAATCAAATATGAGATCAAATAATCAATCGATCTGTCAATCATGATAATTTTCATGTCAACCTCCACGCACACAACTTGTAAATTAGAAGATGGAGCAATGTAGTGCTCTAAGCCATGTTTCATAAAGATTTGAAGATTAAAACAAATACTTAAAAAAAAGGACACAATGGTGAATACTGGGGTGTTTCAAATATTAAACAAGACAACCAATGGCTTACTCAAGAAATCAACTTTCAGACATTTTCATAATGTGTATGCTCTGCACAAATAAATTATTGTGTTTACCTTCAGATCTGCAAGCCTTGTTTTACCCAGTAAAATGTAGTCACACACAAGCTCCTGACACTTCCCGATGGCATGCGGTGATTTCTGAATATGAGCCTAAAATAGACATAAAATAACAATCATTTAAATCTGACATTTCGTTAAGAAGTTAGAGGAGTTAAAACATACAGCTGTTTAAAGAACAATATTTAAGAAATCATCCTTCAAAGTTTACGATTTTGGACATTTCTCAGGCAAAAACCATCACCAAATCGTTAAAAATTGTTGTTTTAACATTGAAAATTAGAATTTTTTGGCCATTATATCTGAAACAGGATTTGCGCTGAGTGACTGGTTTGGCTTGTCTTTGCCACATTTCATTATTTATACTAGGCCACAGTATCATCTTACCATTCTGAAGAAGTGCAATCAAAAACTCTCAAATAACAACAGGACATGAAGAAAGAGAGAAGAGAGAGAGTAATACTGTACCTTGATGATATGACTTGGTTCAAATGGAACAAGTGAAGTCAGGATTTTCATCAGAAATGTGAAGGATTTCTTTGATGTGATGTATGCATTACCTTCACCAAAAGTTTCCTGAAACACCAATAAAGCTCCATTACATCAGTATCCATACCACGCAGACAGTATGAATACAAAAAATACAAACATATATGATAAATTCCATTTCTTATCAGTGGTAGATTAAGGAAGGGGGGGGGGAAGCTACCCCACCCCACCCTAAATGTTTTTGCATATCTATCTAATAACATAAGATTTTGGTAAATAGCACTCCTAAGAGAATAATTTAAAGACTGGGGGTGTAATTCACCCTACTTTTAAAAATAAAAAAATAGAGAAAAGAAGAAAAATTATATTTAAATTACAATGGCATTTCTGGTCATCTAGTGGTGCCATAGCCATAAAATTTCCTACCTCTGCCCAAACCATGGTGGGGCTTAGGAGGTCTAGATCCTCCATCACTAAAAGAGAGCTAGGCCTAATAAGAGAGCTAGGCCTAATAAGAGAGCTAGGCCTAATAAGAGAGCCAGGCCTCTCACCTTAAACCACTGTGGGTACGGCAGAAAGATCTGAGGTCCTTCAGAGGATGCCTGTCTGGCAAGAAGCAAAGCGATAATGAGGAAGTCTTGGTCCAGCTCCTCAACAGCTGTTGATAGAAAGTTGTGGATCAAACCTGAAATATAAGCAGTTGAAGTTTAATGGTAATATAACATTTAGTGAAAAACTTTTAAACCATTTACAATGAAAATTAAATTATTATTATTATTATTATATAAACAACCTTATAAAAAAAATATATAATAAAATAATTTAAACAATCAAACTAATAAATTATCAAAAATTTCTTTCTCCATATAATATAATGAAAAAGAGCAGCTTAGCTCAGTCGACTAATCTGGTGGTAGCCACTGTGCGTGCGCTGAACTGTGGAGATCTCTAGGTCCCCGATTTAATTCCCATTGCTGCCTATCCTTGTATTTCAGTTGGAGGGCTGAAATACAAGTTACAATAGCGCACCGTCCTTCGGATGAGGCATTTAAGCCGTTGGGCATTTATGGCTCATGTACATGTTAAGAACACAGTACACTCTTCGGAAGAGAGTAGGGGATTGTCTCCCGGCAAACTGCCCAATCACCACCAGAAGAACCACACTAGAAATAAGTCTTTTTCCAGACTTTCATGTGCTATCCTTGGTGTTTACACCGAATAAATCCAATCCACAAAATAAATAAACAGACATGAAAAATCTATATTGATAATACAGCAATCACTTCATAGAGTGCATACTTACGCCCTGTGCCTTAATAACAATACGCAGACCGTGTATGGCGTGTGAAATTGCAGCATACCCTCAATGAAATAATGGAATCATCACCTTTGCATTCAAGGCACATTGTTTTATTGAGTGCTGCCCAAATACGAGTGGTTATTCCATTATATTCTTTTAAGCTTGAGGTTAAAAAAAAAATAATTTCCTTGACCTTTGACCTCTTCTTCTGAAAATTGAATGGTGTTTTCTTTGAATATCATGTACCATTCCACTAAATTTTATGAGGATCCATTCATTAGTTTTTGTGAAATTTTGCTAACATACTGACAGACAGACAGCAGTGTATACGTGACCTACTTGGCGGGGGTAATACGGTATCTAAACAATTAACGCGAAGTCCTTACCTTTGATCAAAGCTGGGGCACTGGGACAAACAACAAGGAATGTTGAGATGAAGCTAAGGAGGGCTTGCCAATTCACCTTAAAAATAAAATAACATATATCATCACAACATTTACGAAAATGATAATAAATACAAATACGTATAACTTCATTTTCATCATTCGTGCCTAAAACACCCTGGACAATACATAAATGAGCTGAATTTGATCGTTGATTCAGGTAAAAGGTATGTGTGGCCTACATTGCGACTAATATGCTCTGTAAGGTAAGGATTGACTAACAATTTGATGACAAACCATATTCGTTATTTTTGTGTAAGCTGCAAAAGCTCTGTATTATTGCAAACAAACACACATTTTGGTTCATACAAGTACCAGGAAGAAATTAAGATAAAGGTATCAAATTTATTATTTAACTCTTAAAAATGGCTTTTTAAATCAACATACAAGTATTATTGAATTAGTTTTAGATGAACCCCTGCTTTTTGTCCTTCTTACCTACCTCTTCGTGTTCTAACAATCTCTGAATCATGCCTGCTATCTCTTCCTCCTTGAAGGATAACAGAAGTTCACGATATGTTGCAGTCACATGACTTGCAGTCTTGGCAAATGTCCAAAAATGTTGTTCCAAAATGGCTTGAGAGACTAAAGAAAAATAAATATTATGAAATTTCCACCATTTACAAAAGAAAAAAAACCAAAAAAAAAAACCTGATGATTTAAAATATTAAAAAAAACTACTTTATTCCCAAAACCTCATGGTAAATATTTATAAAGGTAAAGGTGGAAGAATAACCCATAAATCAGCTATACCAGCCATAGAGAAGAGCTTATTAGCTTCATTTTTACCTCATTCCTTCCTTCCTACTTCATTCAGACAGGCTGAAATGAACAATAGCATCAAGGTAGCCCTTTACTGTTCTGAAAGATGCAAAGGGTTCTTTAGATTGCACTTACGCCAGATGTGTATTCTGGACCTCAATTTTTAAGGGCTTTATCCGAGAAGACTTGGTCCTACCAACAAAAACCTGGTAAGGCTGTAGATAGCAGTACCCCTGCCTTACCACTCAGCAACTCGACTTGCTTATAGAACATCAATGAGCATATTCCCTCCTGTTAAGGGGTGAGTATCAAGTTTGCTGTTAAATGAAAATTAAGTACAATAAAAGGTAGATTTGTACCAATGATATCTGTAGTAGACGTCAACTGTAGGATTAGCTGGTGTTTGAAGAACTTGACGCTGGACTCCTGGCTAACCATTCTATCTTGTCTTATCAATTCCAACAGGTTCAAGTGGTTGGCGTTGCTCGATTCAGCTCCTTTCTTCAAAAAGTCTGTTTTGAAAAACAATATATTTAGTTACAAAGATATTGCCAACATTGCATACCAATTATTGAATATATCAATTTATTTTACAAAAGTAGTAAAAATATTATTATCTTTATTTTTCATTTATTATGATGGGCAGTTGGCTGATCTGACTTCTTGCATCATAGACAATAGTTCAAACCAAGTTAGTATTGGTTGTATGTCTTACTTATGTCGGATGGTGCTGCACTGTGGTTAGAAAGAAACACAAGTGGACATTGGCAATATGAGGCATGTCATGGCGAAATGGTTTAGTTGTCGCACAGTCCAGTATTGAGTAAATGAGCTATAAAATATGGGAGCTCAAAAAATTGCCTAAAAATCCAAATTTTTTTTTCACTACAGATCAACAGTCATGTCCCAAAGTATTAGTTCTGGAAGTGGTCAACAAATTGTTTATTTACTGTTATTTTGATAGTTCATTCTATTAAACAATTTATGCAAAAAAGGCAATTACTCAAAATCATGTTTATCTTGACTCTAAGAGTACTGTACTTTCACTTTCCAATAACTTTGGCTTGAAATGTCCAATTTGAATGAATGACAACTCATTTTAAAGATCACATACTCTGGTTTCTAAAAATACCAATAACTTGAATTTCAATTTTTGCTACAACTTAGCCATTTTGCTCCAACATGACTCATATTGTCCTTACCGCTCATAATGGTGTCCAGTAAAAGCACTGATGCCTGCAAGACACAAAGAGATAAAAGTGATATCGGACACTGTATTAGATATTTATACACAATTACAGAAATAAATAGTGATGCTGGTGTATAATCATATTTTTACATCCTACCTAGGTTTACTATTTACATTGTATTGTCTGTAGTTTATGAGCTAGGGGAATTACAAAATTTGTTTATTTAATCTTTTTCTCTATTTTAAAGATACATGTTGCATGAGTGAAAGTTAAAAAGTGAAGTTTTTTAGAGTATAATTTATAAAAATCAACTAACTGAAACTAACCTTTTGTATGGCACGTTTAGCGTAATCTTCTGATTCTTCATTGCCTACAGGGTAACCATGGGCAACAAAAAATGCAACAAATCCTACATGAGATAATATTAAATAATTAACTGAGAAATAAAAAATAGATCAAAAGTAATTTTTATTATAAACAAATGGAACATTTTACTTATTGAATTTATATTGCACCTTTTTCATGAGAAATTATGGCTCAAAGGTGCTTAATGATGTGGAAAAACATAATTATTTTCAGGTTATGAATAAAAAAGGAACACAATATAGTTGTAGCAAGAACCTTAACAACAGAAGGAATAAAGTAAATTATGGCCATCCATTTATAGGCCAATTCTCAAAAGCACTTATACCTTGTACAATTTCTTTGCTTCTTGCTGCCTTTTCCTGCTCAGCAGGGATGTGCAAACCAATTGAAACTATGCACCGCATGAGGGCAGCAAACACATTCTGTCTTCCCAAATTGTTTGTGATGAACTTGCTGATTGGCATGATCGATTCTCTGTGCAGAATCCAAACTAACTCTACAGGAAAAAATGACTGAAAAGAAATAAAATAGATTTTAAATTGTATTAATGTACAGTAATTAGAAAGATCTAGCTCAGATATTGAAAAGCTGAGTTGACAAACACAATACTTTATTCTAAAGTAGCTATAGACATCAGAAAAACAAACACCACCTGTAGGTCAAACAACCCAGTAAGAATAAACACCACAACAATTGAACAAACCATCTAATATTATAGGGATTTGTTTAAAGCATAAGAGGTAATCGATCACATTTGTTAATCAAAATAAGACTAAAGTATAGAGTCGCATATTTTCTACAGTAATATAGGGCTCTGAATACTAACTAGCCTTACTTGGGAGGGTCATTCAATATAATGGTTTAAATAAAAATATTTTCTCCCAACCACTTTATTGTTTGTTATAATATTATATTATTATTATTATTATTATTTTGGGCAGTATAAATGCATAACCTTTATATTATGAATCATTCCGATAATCACTCACTTTTGTATTAATTTTCTTGATGAAATGAGAATTGCTGAATGCATGTATTTTATTCAGTTTCTGAATTCCATTCAACACCATCTGCACTTGATGCTGAAAGCAATAATGAAATAATACAAATGAAAGTAACTGCAGTGATATTAATGAAACAGCATTTATTAGTCACCACCAGACTTTAACATCATTCAAAAATTATCTGGCAGGTGCACTGGCTCATAATATGAGCCATGCCATTCCAAAACCAGCGTACAGTCACTAAAATGTTAAACTGAGTAATTAGCATAAGAATGTGACAGTATTGCATACTTTTATTACAGAGCAGCCATAATACTTTTACTCATAACTTTGGCAATATAATATGTCAATTCTAGTGAATGACTGTAATAAATTACCATTCCTTTCCTTATTCTAACATATTCATTACATAGAACATTCTAGAATAACATTTAATTGACCAAATAAACAGTGTAAACCACATTGGTAATTATAGGAACACGTGATACCATGTAGATTCCAAGAGTAATATTTGGAAGCTTCCGGAATCTTGGGTACTATACAGGCAATAAGCCTAATTGGTTAATTATGATGTAAGGTAACCAATGAGGAACTTAGGCAATATAGAATGCTCTTGAATGCTCTTGAGTTGTACAGCTAGGGTTACATATGCTGATAGTTTTATCTTTCTGGAGCTCTTTTTTGAAACACATATTTATGTGAATGTTGTTGTGTTATTTTAATACTGGATTCTTGTTGAAGTTTATGCAGAAAAAAAGTATATTTGAGAGTTGTTTTACAACATTGTGAACAGTGTTTAAATTTTATATGTCAAAGAGGATTCCTAGTCATTGCTTTACCGCTTGGAAATATGTCAAGTAGGAATTCATGACAATGACTCATCATTTTAAAATTTACAATGTGGAAAAAAAAAGAATATTAAAAAGCCAATTTTTATTTTTTGGTCATTGACACTGGTTTTGGGATGAAAAGCCTCATATTTAACAATAATTATGTAATTTTATGATTAGGCCCCACAAATGCATGTTGAGTCCCCCTCCGCTCGTTTTCATGTATGTTTACGCCGTTATTTCGTGAAACCATAGAAACATTATCTGATAATTGATCAATTATTTGATAATTTTTTCTCACCTGCTGGGCGTCAGTTAAAAGGTGAGTGTTTTCGTCTGCCTCTCCTATGATGGCTTGAAGGTTCTTCGCATAGGCTAGCGCTGCTAAGACATCCACAGGTGTTGATGTCAACTGAGCATGAGCCTGCAGGGTACTTACAAACATTTCAACTGAAACAACGAAAGAAATTAAGCAAGTCTACAACAACTTTCACCTTTTCAATTCTAGTTTTCAATGTAAAATACAAGGTTATCTTAATCCTAATGCTAATCCTCAATGCTAATCATGTTAAAGTCCTTATTTTAATTCTTAGTGTCAATCAAAAGTACTTAATACTAATCTTCAATGTCTGAATGTTTATTATGTTTGTTCAACAATATAATCCTGTTAACCATTATTGATATTTACAAATTTAACAGGATAATCCATTAATTTTCTGCTTTTCATTGTATTCTTGAGAAATTGTTAACATTTTTTACATACAGAACTAAATCAATTTTCTCACCATTCAGCTGATCAACTCTGTGGTTATAGCTCGCATCAGTAAGTTGAGAACTGCTAGCACCAAATGTTCTAACCTTATGAAAAGAAAAGACTGTTAATTTATTTGACATCCAGCAAAAGCTATTACGAACATAAATATATTTATTTACATTTTAATAAATAAATAAAATTAATATATTTATTTATTAAAATGTAAATAAATATATTTATTTACATTTTAAATATATAATATATTTATATAAATTTATTATATTATTGTTAGACTTAATTTTATCTTTAAATCTCTGCCATTTTTCATCGTTTGATGGCAACATCAGGCTATTGATGGAAAAAAAACAAACAATTGGAATTTTTAGAAATGATTTAATGTAAAGTGTTTACAGTTAATTAGATGTTTGGGAATTTTCAATTTAGTATACAAGCTTTGTTTCATTTAATTTTAAGAATAAAAAAAACAAAAACCCAGGAATTTTACTTAACTTCCCTTCAGCCAATAAACTGTTTTTATGAGAGTTGGATGGCCGAGTGATTAATGCCGGGGCGCTGCAACGTACAGCTATTTTATCAGGGCTGGTGCGAACGGCACGCTCGCCTATGGTTCTGGTGGTGGAACAACTCTTCTTGGATAAGGACTCTAAACTGTAGGCTTAGTGTACACAATTTGGCTCATGTGAACATAAAAGAACCCATCTTTCGTAATGAGTAGGGGGTTAGCCTGGTGTACTGGTCCATTCAGCCCCTGTTGTGGAAAGATGAGAGTACCTGGTATAGGTTTACCAGGTAGCTAAGACACGAAGAGACCCTAAGGGAAAAAGTAAGTTAATATAAGAGCCAGTCCACATAAGCGCTTTGAGACCGTTTCGGTGTAAAAGTGCTATATAAATCTAACTACATTACATTGCATATAAAGGAGGTAAAATTTATTGTGTAGGGTGCAGAACATTTCAATACCTGTTGAACTTCATTTAACTCTTTAAAGAGTTGATCCACATCCTGATGGTGATCAATCAACCGTAACACTGCATCTTTCAAGCTTGTCTTATTTTCGGACAACTGTGTGTCTCTGCACTGGTGGCGCCATTCTAGAATTATTGAAAAAGATATTATTATTTTCTTTTTTTAAATAAACCAGTGACACAAAATATACTGTAGGCCTCAGGCTAGGCCTAAAGGCCCCTAGTTAGGAATAGCCTAGGCCTATTGTGATAATAAATTAATTGCCTAGCTAGGGGCCTAGAGTAGTAGGGCCAGGACTAGGATATTTTAGTGGATTTTTTATATAAGTACCATGATTCAGTGAGTGAACCTCACCTAAAAGATCCTCAAATGTTCTTGCATTTGAACTATTGTCTTCAAATGCCTCTTTCAAATCCATCATAGGACTAGACACCAATCTTTCCTAGGCCTAGACAGCAGCAGCAACTCCGAGATGCTGGACCAAGTCAAGTGAGACCTCTTGTTGCGGCGACTATATATTGCACTAGGAGTTCTACCTAGCCTAGTGCTACTGTACTAGCCTAGGCTAGAAGTAGCCTAAGTACTGCTACTGCCAAATCAATGAATGATCGGCCTTAGAAAAGGGCTATTTTAGTAGCTATAGTATCATTCTTCTTCTTCTTAAATGTTGACAATTATCATCAAAAGAAACTTGTAACTTTCCCACTTTTGATTGATGAAGCGGCATGTTCACCTCGAAAATCAAAACAAACCCGCGATGGGTTTTTGAACGGTCTCATCATACAGGGCGACAGACTGAAATTTACTCAGAATCTCAGAATCGCTAATTGGACGTCGCTCGGGTACCCGTACTCGCGCGAATAAGCGCCCGGGCGCTTATTCAAACGGGGCGCTTATTTAAACGGGACGCTTATGAAAACAGAGTGGACATTGAGGGGGCGCTTATGGAAATAGATGAAAATCGAGGGGTTCTTATGGGAAATTATTAAATTTAAGAGGCACTTCTTGCCTGAAAAGGACATTACGAATGGTGGCTTAGGCGGAAAAGATAATCCTCCAGAGAACATGGCTCATGACAAGAATGCGTGAATATTTATATAACAGCAAAATAGCAGATGCAATTAGTGGTGGCGGGTCACAGTTAGCTTGTTGGCCATCGGCCGATTGAGATTAGTAGGATGGCAGGATCATTGTATTTTTTCTTGAAAACTCAGATGAGAAAGTGCTAAAGGTCGGAAAAAGAAAAAAAGGAGTAGGACTAGGCATAGACAAATATGTAAAAAGAGTAAAGTTGGAAATATACTGTCTGTCCAGGGATCAGAGCAAGAGAAATATCCTCATTTAGATATTGACCTAAAGAAGAATGTGTTAAATTTAAACTCTGCAGCTCAAATCATGCCAACAACTACAGTCCCACAGGATTGATTGGATTATTGACTTGCTAAAAATAAAATCTTATGATATTATTGAACGTCGCTTAGTCAAACGGGGTACTTAAAGAAATGTTCACGGGCGGTTATTCGCGCGAGTACGGTAACTCAGCACTTTCCAATGTATTTAGTGCTGTTTGTGTGCAACATCAGCCGTATGTTATAGATAGGCCTAATTTATTTACATGGTGTTCGTAACTTTTGACAACAAAATATTATAATCGATCGGCTTAGTTTATGTTTTTAAATACCTTTTAATTGATTTATTCAAGTTTATCGTTTTAAAAAATACTAATACATACATACCGGTACATTTTATAATTGATATTGCCCTGTTTAAAAAAAAAATGATGTTGCAGGCCGTTAGGAACTTAGTCAAATTTAAAGTATCATTGTTTACTTATCTAACTTATATAGGACTCATACTTAATTTAACAATCAGGTGATGAGGTGAAAATTAGTAATTCATTAAAATGTGTACCTGTCTACTACAGTATTATAGGCCATATAATTCAAGAAGTATTCAAGATTCATAATATAATACAATGCATATAAAATGGAAATCCTTTATTTTGACACACGTTGCAAAGAATTTATTTGACATATATTAAAGTATCCCAGTATCAATTGATCAATTTATTAGGCCTATATGAGGAAAATGATTGAATATACGTTAACTTTCAATAAAAAAAAATGTTAGTTGTTTTGAAAATTTTGTGATTGTTTTTGATGATGAAAATCATCTGGGATTGGAAGGAAGCCTTTAGCTACCAAGCTATTCAACTCCACTTTTAAGAGCTATGAGCCAATCTTGAAAATTTATCAAATATTTTTGTTCTCATTTAATCAATTTAAGCATAATGAGGCGAATCATTGATCATCATAATACAATACAGTACAGTTAGATACAATTCTGACATTCAAAGATTTCGGTCTGCCGCCCTCTTACAGATTGTTTGCTGCCGCCGTGTGGATAAATAATTCATACGACGGCCGTGTATCGTACAATAAGTACCAAGATGTCGTTTCGGGGAGGTTTTGAACTTTTAAGTCATTCTCAAAAGGTTCTTAGACTGTACAAAAAATCATATAGACATTTAGAATCTTGGATAACTGACAGGTAATTGATTTATATTATTATTTTAGTAAATTTCAGCTGTAGGTCTATTAAGTGAGACATAATATACTACCGGCTTTTTGATGGTGCTGTTGATGCGAGAGTTACACCACAAGGATAATGTGTACAGCCCTTTCGGGATCAGAGAGGCCTAGGCTAGGCTAGCCTAGGTTAGACCTTGTACTAGAAACTAGTATTTGTGTGTGTACAAATTGCAATACCAATGTTAGTTGTTCCATTGAGGAAGAACATTTTTCTGTAAAATATATCAGTCTTTTCATAATATTTTAGCTAATTTTTTTCTTAGTTTTTTTCGAAATAAATTGTTTTAATTTTATTGTTTGTAGCCCCTACTACAGTAACTAATAGCTTTATCTAGTTTTAGGCGAATTCATACTCTGAATGATGGCTCACATTGGCAGGCATAGGCTAGGGCCTAAATTATGCACTCTCTATGGCCAAATATACCTTAGTTGGAGTTTAAAGCATTTCTATCTCTGGAAAAAAATGATGCCACCATGATGTGCACGCAATGGATCGTTTTTAATGATAATCACGTCGTCAACGCTCACAGGGAGCAGAATTGCATTCGTCTGCCAAATTTCTTATGGTGCATTGAGTGCCGGCTTTAGGGTTGATTTCTATACTTTTGTTTCATTTGCAAAAAATTGTTCTTTTCATTAAAAGAGCTAAAATAGTTTGTGGCCAGTGGAGCCTGAATTTTCTAAACAAATAACTTAACTCCTTTTCAGGCCAGATTTCCGCTACGAAGCAACAGTCCTGCGTGCAAGATTTGATGAACACAAAAATGAAAAGAATTTACAGAAAGCTCAGGAATTACTAAAAGCAGGAGAGGATGAGTTCTGGGAAAAACAGCATCCGCAACCCTATATATGTAAGCACTGTACCAAGATATGTTTAGATTATAACATTTTCTTCGACAAAAAACTGTTGTATGCCTATATATGGTCATTATATTATTATTATATGGTCCCAGATGCGTTCCGGAAGAAACTGACCAATCAGTGTCACTGAAAGCTGTCAGCGATACCATAGCAATTTTATTTTACTTCTTAGGTTTCGTATTAATTATCATTATGCATTAATTATGTATTATTACTATTAATTATCATTATGCATTAATTTATAAATGTATTAATTATCATTATGCATTTAATACATTTAAGATGTATGCACTACAGTATACAATAAACTAATATATTTTATGCATTGTAAACAGATTACTGTACCTAGGTTTAATATTGCAAAAAGGTTGTTTAATATTGCAACATGCATTTTATTTGAATATTTTAAGAAGCAACAGTAAATTACTTTATGTAAGTCAACATGAAACAGCAGTGGATTTAATTTAATCTTTTATTTCAGTCATTGATTCACCAGGAGGAACAAGGTATGAGAGGAATATCCCACCACCAGATTGGGTAAGAATCACAACAGAATGTAAATTGATATACATTAAAATTATATAGAAAATGCTAAATAATGATTATATTTAGTTTTCTCTAGTGTTTAATTTTACAGTTCCATGTACATAACAATAACAAAATATAATGCCTTTGTTTTTGATTTAATCTTTAAATTGAAGATTAGAAAAACATTTGTTTATATTTAGGTAATTATAATGATATTTAGTTAGCAAGTCAAAATTGAGAAAAGTAGAAAAGCTACTCAAGAAAACATGCAAAGCAGAAGCTGATTTGAATTTTCTCAACAATTTAATTGTCTGTAGTGTTAACTTTTATAATTAATGTTCCTTAAATCTATGTAACACTTTAAAGATAAAGTACAGTATTGCTTTGTATACTTTAGTAAGTTATATTTGAAGATTAGAAGAATGAAATTTGTTTTTAGCCAATTTCTTAATTTTTCGCATTTGTTGGGTGACTATCTTTAAGGTTGGTTCTTCATGGGAAGATCCAGAATTTTTTACAGTAAACGAGGGGGACCAATTTCATTTAGGCCTAATTATACAGTACAGGTCAAAGTACCTAATAATGATGTGGTTTGTTTTTATTATGCCGTTAATAATAATGCCATTTTGTAAAGAGGGCTATTTGTTGACAACTTATTATTGAAATAAGAGAGGAAAAGTAATAATTTCAGTTTTGCCATGAACTCACTGAAAGTTTAAATGTTTTGGATGTCCATTGAAATATTTTAACATTTAGTATATTATACAGTAATATCAAATTTTATCCTGGCAAAAAAACGAAATGAAGTTATTTGAATCATTTAGTATATTGTATGCCATTTTGTAAAACCCTGACCTTGTAAAGTATCTAATGTGCACCTCTAAAAAGCCAACTTTAAATGTACAATAATTGCAAGTTCAGTAATTTGTGCAAGCACTTAACCAAACATCTTAAGTGCTTAGCATCATTAATATAATCATTGAAATCGATAACATTGATAGAGTGCGTGTAACTCCCTCTGTTGGTTGGAGCTAAAGATATTATCTGGTAGTGGAGCCAACAACTCTGACATGGATGGTTGAAACCAAGCCCCAGTCAGGTTCCCGAGAATATAATGTTGATGTAACTTCTTATGTATTTCTCTGCAGGTTCTAAACTGGTGGCATCCGACCGAAAGAGCCATGTACCCCTCATACTTTGCCAAGCGTCAGAAGCGATTAGCAGACGAGAAAGCAAGATGGGAACAGTTAGAAGCGGAAGAAAAGGCTCTTCTAGAAGGAAAGGCTAAAGATTCATAGGATTTAATACAATTACTGTAAATAAATTATTAAATTACATAACATTAACAGCTACAGCTCTCCCTCGTACCTCAAGTTTAAATGCAAATTTACACAAATCCCAGTGAAACTTTATTATTGTACTTTGTTATAAATACCTGTGCACACAATGTTTATCAGAAAATATAGGGTGTAATCTGAGATTTTGTGATTGTCATTGAACATTTGTACCATAATTTTAATTACAATAGTGTAGTTAAATTTCATAATTATTTGTTGCTGTGTAAATAGAGAGGATTTTTCAATCAGCTAGGCTCCGACTAGCAACAAATACTGTATTGCATTCAATTTCACTAGACATGTTCCTACAATAAAATTTTCAAATTCAACTTTGTTATTGTCTGCTATTTTGGGTCACATGAGAGCATGCCATAAGTGTTGGTATAGCAACAGTAGCTTGTTTACATACAATTTGGCGTCATTGAAACTGTGATAATTACCCCGCGTGGGTAGTTATAATTCACCATTTCCCCTAGCTGAATTTTCACGCTAAGGTTTAATAAGCAACTTCCTATCGTATTTATGTGGTCAGGTTTTTTGCAAGGATACCGATCCTTGACAGTTTGTTTACATCACAGGTGGGGTACAATCAGCCCAACAGCAATTTTGGTGCTGCCCACAAAATAAATTAAAACATTCATGTGTGCAGGCCACCTACCATCTTTAGCTTGAAATCCTCTTCCATATTCTAAAAAGTAACATTGAGCGGTATAAAATGTGCAGCAGGGTATCTAGGGGGTTTGCACACCCCTGCTGGAAATGCTTGAAGTAAACAAATAATTACACTCAAGTACTGTAGTTAAAACTCACCTCATATCCCCTTGTTTTGCAAGCTAGTGGCCCTTCACTTAATCATTGAGCCCTCCACACATTCTCTCTCCCCCCCCACCCCACAATCCACGCCACCCCATATTAAGAGTGCTAGATACGCCATTGAAAATGAGTTTTTGTTCTAAACATAAGTTTGCTTGCGGCGCTCGTTGTTTGCCCTCCGTTTTTCAATGCAAGTATTTATATAGTGGACGAAAACTACAGTATGTTGATTGTTACTAGCAGATTTTTTGTTTTCAGTAAAGGATGCAATTAATTAGGCAATTAATGTTTGTTAATGTTAAGCATTCTCATGATGATTCAGACATATTTAATTATTTTAATTTAATAATACATGTATTGATCAACAATAATATTGTAATAATTATAACAAAGATAATTATAACCTTCATTTTTTGTTCAGCACATTCACAAGTCAACATATTAACCTGGGTCGTGTGAACGTTGCCTGATCCTATAATTGTATGCATGTTTGGCCTCAAATCAAATGCATTTAAATTAAATCATTCTCGTAATAATGCCGACAAACTAATGTCTGACAAACAACCATCTCACTAGGAATGCCGCCACGCCAAGTTGCCTGGGACAATTTCCCTATGAGATAAGCATGGCCCCTGTTATCACATGCTACATGAGGTCATCGTACTAAAATTTAACTATTTGTTGATCAAAACAAAGAATCTAAAATCACAAGTTTTACCATTAAAAAAAAAAAAAATCTCTCCCCAACTACAAGTTTTACTCTGTATACTAGATGACGTCTTGGCTCATATCCCCATTAAATCAAATGAGGGGGCCCAGTTGGTGCATATTTTAAACATTTGTTCAAATCATGGTGGCTGATATTTGTGTGACCCCCCCCTACCAAGGACATTGACCCCTCATGAGGGAATCTAAAACTTGTAACCCACTGACAGATTTCCTTAGAACCCACTGGTGGTCATGCATCAATGTGCAAAGAGCTGGAGATTCTCACAGTGTCCTTTTCCACAAAGGACAGCTAAAAAACATTATGGCAGACAGTAAAGCAAACCAAAAGTAAACGCTGTGGTATTATTATATATTTTTAATTTCATATACATATTTTCAGGTGTGTAAGGCTTAATATAACAGTGATCAATTAGCAGATTATTACTGCAGAGAAGTTAGTTGCCGTGTCAGGGGTTATCGCTTCCCTTTTTAGAGAATTATTAAATATTTGTGATTTTCTATAAGCTACATTCTGAAACCCTAGCAGACAATGGATACAGCACCTGTCTTTACGCTTAATTATGATTATAATAGCAAGTAAAAAACAGACAGACCTACATTGGTACATCAGAGACAGTCACCATACATAATCTTAACAATACATTGCAATTAAAACTAAGAGCTTTTCCCTTTGATATAATATTAATAATACACAAAATACATTTTTATCAATTTAGTATACTTGCAAACCAAGGAACTATTGTAGTAGGCCTACTTATTACTGGGAATGACATCACAAGTTTATCACATTGATAACCTTGAATTATAATTTGTTTTAATCAGATCGTAACACATAACTTTCATTCTTACATTCATAGCATTATCAATACTTTATAGTGTAAAATTTATCAGAGGATTTGCATTGTTCTATATGCTATGGACTTCCATCCTAGGTTAACACACATTTCTTCCTACGGAATATCTTCTTAGGGTTTACATCACAAATTTAAAATATATTTATCTGTTCAGACAACAAAATATTTAGATCACATACATAGCAAAAAAGTCTGTCAGTCAGAATTTATTAGATTTGTTTGAAATTTGATTGGAACATTTTGAATCGGTATTTGACAGGTCACGTCAAAAAAATGGCCGGTAATTGACAGGAAATTGTTGATTGGCGCTCAGCTTGACGTAAACATCAGATCCGGCATAATACCAGCCACAAACCCTCCGTTAAAGCATTTTTCAATTAAATAATGTTGAAAGAGTCCCCGAAACCACTTGAGCTGTCAATTCAGCTGGATTGGGTTTACCATCTAGCTAAACTGCTCTACAGTTTATTTGATTATATAGAATCGCAAGAATATCTGTAGTGGTGGACAAAGGAATTTTGGGGCCCAGAATGTAAATTTTACAGATGGAATGCCCAGATCACTTCAACCCCAACCACGTTACAACATTTTATATCCATAGCACTTCTAGATGGCAGCAAATGGCACTCCTCATACTAAAAATTTAAATGTAATTTTTCTCCCAATTTTTTTCTGTAACTTTAAACAATTTAGCAGGGCCTGGATAAATCTGCCATGAAGTGATGTGAGACCAACTAATGATAATATTCATTAAATTTATAAGGAAATTTATCATCTCTTCAAAAAATATCTGCACATTGCTTTGCAGGATGATGATATAATTTAAGCAGATAAATATTAAATTTTTAACTGGGAAACTGGAAACAACTATCGAGAATGTCCCATATTAAGAAAGAACAGATGGATTTGAGATTAAAAAACACAAAATTGATTAATATATATATATATATTTTCATTGGAAAATTAATCATTCTTTTTTTTAATAAAAAAAAAAAAATACTGGAATTATTTAAGACACATATAGGAATGGGAAATACACAGAGTACATAGATGAGAAAAAAGGATTTCTTGATGAATGTTAAAATTTAAATGTCACCCTCTAGAGTACAACTCCTTCATACAATGGTCCATCGTCATGTTGTGTTTCTTGTTGCATTCGAATGTGTTCTAATGTTGTTTGCAGGTGTTTGTTGATCTGTTCTGTCTCCTCGTTCTCCTCTAGGTTTGGTAGGTCTTCTCGAATCTTCTCTATCAATTGATTTAGCAGTTGAACATTAATCTGAAAAAATATGGTTAGATCAATAAATTATCTTTCTGTACTAACTTTTGGTGGTATTTTTGATTGATGATGTACAAAGTCCTCTTTCACTCCTGTAGTCACAAAATTGTCCACCATCTTGAATTGCACATCTTATTCAAAAAACATATACTAGTAAACCCAATTAATCTAAAATGATTTGCCATATCATTTCAGGTTTATTATATTTTCCTATAAAGGATTTAGATTATGCAGAAAATAATATCACAAAAAAAACAAAAAAAAACCCAAGAATGTTTCATTTGGAAATACAGTTATACTAGGATAATAAATACAGATTTTAAAAATGTAATAAATCTTGGGCTATATGTATTAAATCATTATTTTTCCAAATAAATTAACATCAGTCAAAATTAGAAATGCTCCTTTTACACTGCATAGTAAAAGCATACTTTCTCCATGGTGTGATTTTTCTCAGAGAATTAATAAGTAGAAGTTTTAAACCAATCAGATTTACCAAAATTTAGTTATCGTGGTAACAAACAAATGAACGACAATTACAACCAGAGGCTGATTTGGGGTGGAGGGTGGTGACCTGACCCCGGGCTCCCCTTTTGAAATGTCAAAATAAAAAAAAAAAAAAAAATTGATCGCCCAAAAGACCTCAGAGGTTATTTTCGGTCATCTAGAAATCAGAAATTTCGTGATGGGCATGCCCCCTAGGGTATTGCTATCTCGATCCCCCCACTTCCACCACCCCCTCCCTTTTGGACATCTCTGGATCCGACCCTGACAACAACATGAAGAACAACACGGTAAAAACAATAGCCTCCCTGGAACTTCACTAATGAAATTATTTAAATCTTGCAAAACTATAAAGAGGTAGCTTGATACATCAGTTTGACTAACCTGTTCGCATCCTTTTTCATAGAAGTATATATAACGATTGAGTATCTCTACAAATAGCTGTACTTGTACAGTGTTGTCCATACACTGGTTGGCAATACGCAATGACTTCTTGAGGCACTCTGCAACACGCTTACCATCTTGAAGCTATCAGGGAACAAATGTAAACGATGCACGTAAAATGATCCGATAGGATAGAAACATTAGAAATGTGGCTTCTGTGTACATGTCAAAAATTCTCATGGTCAGTGACGGCCAAGTGTCTTCAACACGATGACAGCTAGTGGAACAAGTACCGTACTTATTTGAATAAACGCCCCGCCTTGAATAAACTCTCCCTCGAACAAACGTCCCCTCCAGAGCCTCATTTAAAATAAATGCCATTCCAATAATGTTGCACTATAGTAGAATTACATTTTTCTAACATGATTAGGATCAATAAGTCTTTATGATCACGCAATAATATATTTTGACAGTAAGTATGCGTTGTGGTTACACATTTACAGTGAAATTAGGGGCATTTATTTGAGTATGTACGTATCCATTTTACACCCAAAAAAAAAGAAAAAAAAAAAAAGAAAAAATAAATGCCTCCCTTGAAAAACGCCCTTAAGAAAGCATAAAAATCAGTACAAGGTCATATTAAACCTAAAAATTATGTTGTAAAAATAAACATCCTGTCTCACCTCAGCTCCATCATTTTCCGTTGTTCTTCCGGACCAGAATAAATGTGAGCAGATACCGACTCCACGGCACTGGTCAGGCTTCTTGAGTAGTTTTGAAGCGGCGAGGGCACAGTTCGTCCTGAGAGGTGAGTGGTTCTCTTGTCCAAAACAGCTCATCCGTTCAAAGGTTGAAATGATTAGTGTAATTGCAGCAAGCTGTGCCTTTGAGTCGCTTATCTCATCTTCATACAGTGAAAAAGCCTACAAAACAGCAAGTGAAATGTTTACAAAAGTCAATCATCAAGACCTTAGTTACCGTATATCATGAAGTAATCGTATAACCTGTGTTTATAAAAGTCAATGGAGATTAAATTGTATAAATTGTATTTAAATTGATATTATAAATTATATGTGTAAAATATTGTAATTGTTATTGAATGTGAACTTTTATGTATATTTAACAATATCAAACCTTCTATGACCAAATATGTGATTTTTCCATACATGGGCATGCTGATATCATGCCACAAACATATATCAGGCTTGTGATCCCAAAACTTGCTAAGTGTTAACAGAGTAATTAGCATACGAATGTGGCAGTATTGTCTACTTTAGTACAGAGAAGTTAATACTTTTACTCATAATTTTGGCAATTGTAAGTTGATTCCAGTAAATGACCCATCATTTTAAAGCTTATAATGTAACAGGTATTTGCCACATTTTTGACAGAATATTAACCTAGAATTGAGAAATTATAAGATTGTAAACATTTTAACCACTGACCACAACTATATACACCAAATCCAAAACTACAAACCTGTGACATGAACTCATACGCAACGCCTTCATGATTTTCAAAGCCTATTTCGCCTGCCGTGAGGGCTCCCTGTAGGAATAGTCGCAGAGGGAGCTCTGCCAGTTCGGCTTTTATTAGAGCACTGATTGTTTGATGGCAGAAGACAAAGATCTTCTGGCATTTCTTCTCCCATTTGTCATCCTGAAAAAGAAGGGGAAAGAAGCTCATCATTTCTCCGGGAAGACTGCTTTTACAATCTGGAAGTGCCATTTCCTGGGCATCTAGTTCATATTCTTAAAATATAAATATAATAAATAGAGCCGTGTTAGTCTTATAGCGTATAAAGTAAAAAAACACTAATAGCACTTTACAGATAAACCTACACCAAACTTAGTCTTAAATTTGAAGTAAGCATCTTCACAAAACTCTGAGAGAATAATATTCTTTCATCATGAGAAAATCAAGAGTTCAGTACTAATTAAAAAACTGAAACTGTGATGGCTACAACTGATACACCTTTTCAATAGAACGCAGAGATTACTCACCTCCTCTGCAAGTTCTTTGTAGTTTACTGCAAGTCTAAAGCTGGAGAAAACAAGTGGCGGCAATGTGAACTTGATACGTTGGTTACCACCACTACCAAAATGCTTCCGCGCTGCATTCAAAATCTGCAGGCGAAAAAGGATGAAAATGTGTTAAGTATTTTTACCAAAAAAAATAATTGGTTTCCAATTTATCATTCATTGCTTAGTATAATAGGACCTTTACAGAGTGTCAATCAAACTTAACAACTGACCAATCAGAACAGACCTTGGGATATGTGCGTGTCCCACAAATGCAGATGTTTGCCTATGTTTTAACACTATTGTTTTGTGGGGCCTTAGCAACAATATCCAAGGGGCGGGGCTTAGCCGAAAGGCTCATTTACCAATGAGAAACATGAAGCAAAAGCTCCCTTTTAGAAGAAATGGTCCAAAAAGCTGTCATTTAGCTGTCTCATAATTTACAGTACTTTACTGGGCTCAGTCCTAGCTTTGCTTTCTTGTGTAATATATGGACTGGACCAGCTAAGGGAGAATAACGCAGCATGAAGTCTGCTTCTGCACGTACCAGGTACTGCTGGTCCGGATTGTCAGCATTGAGTAAATTGATAAACCTTCCCATCATGCCTTGCTCCTCAGCAAAATCTTCTGGGTCATCCTGAATAATAAATAAATAAAAAAAAAAAAAAATTCATAAAGCAATAAATCCCTTTAATTTCATTTTTAACAAGTAGGTATATAATGAGTATCTGCCAGAAGTTGGTTTATGCAGATCCAAATGCCTAGGAATGGGACTATTCTGCATAGAGCAGATAACATTAAACACTGTGTATTCAGTCATCAAGGCACAAATACACTGTCCTTATGCATGGAGGTATAAAACTACAGCCAAAAAAACCTTTTGCTTATCTTTAAGTTATTTTGAATAAGGGTGGATAAGGCCTTTTATTCCCCTTAACAATTTGCTTCCCACAAACACAGCCATATAATTCTGGGGACACATGTATATTATTATGATTAATAAGAAAGGTTTGCAAATATGTAAGATTTTTCTGGGTGTTTTTGCTTTGTGAATGAGTACAGGACATTTTTTTACCTAGAATTGTAAATAACGAGTTTAATTCCATGTTGGTTCTTGCCCTGTTCAATGTAAAGTGTATTAAAGTATAAAAGAAAATAAATTAATTTCTGACCGGTTCCTCTGGTTGATCCTCTTGATCCTTAACCAGAGTGGACACCAATCCCAGAATGCCGTCAACTGCTTCCTGGTTCACCACCATGGTGTTGTGATCCAGTGCGTTGTTTATGATGTACATGCTGATGGC